ATTGTAAGTGTATTCTGGACATTTGCTGGGGGTTATGCTTTTATCACTAAATTCTTTCATTTTGCCTATTTCAGGACAGAAAAAATTTTTATGAGGCTTTGAGAAGACATGACATTGTACAAAATCTTTACATATTTTGGCACCATGGCTGAAGCGTAAATATTTAAGACAACAGTTCTTTTCTCTAACTTAATTTATTTTTTCTTCCAGAGAGCAATCTGGTGACTACACAATCCTTTCTACAGAACAAACACAATATTTCTTAAGCAGCGAATAAACCAGCTGCAGTAGTGTACTTGTAATCCCTCTATCACCATTTTTTCATGTTTAAATTTTTATCTTTAATGGAATCCCGTGTGCCATCTAGTGTGGAAAAGAAACACTTTGAAATGAATCAGCATTCATTCATTTAACTTGCATAGTACAAATTTAGTACAGTCAAAAGTCGTTAATTCGGACACCCATAATTCGGAATGATCTATAATCCGGACCTCAAAACTAAAAACTTTCTGCGCATGCGCCGCGTTGACACATGCGCATAGGCGTTTACGCGTGCGCGTAAGACCTTTTACGACTGCGCATGTCAGTGTGCGCAAGTGCAGAATACGTTTTCGCGTGCGCGTTTATGTATAATGGACGTATAAGCTAAAATTATCTAATTATCTATTTTAGTTAATGTTGATGATTGCGTTGTTCCTTAATTTTCGAATTGGATCTGGCTTATTATTTTTTGCAGACTGTAAGAGCAATTTTATAAAAGTAAGCTTAAACTTTCGATTATATCAAATAAAATTTCTGATATATATTTGTTAATATGTAAAGGATCTAAAGCGAAAGTATGTTTTGAAATCCGAAATCTGTTTATCAATTTCACGCTGCTCGGCAGGGGGAACACTGCGGCGGGCGCATAATGAATTGGAAGTTGATCTATCAGCACTATCCTTATCTTCAGCGCAGTGTTTTTATTTTATTTGGCTTATAATTCCTTACCAAATGTAGTATTTCATCTCGATATGCTCCGTCTTTGATATGATTTAAAACAAGTTCCTCGTCATTATAATTCGCTTCTGATAGCGAAGAAAAGTGACAGAGGTTATTGAAAACGAAAAAGTTTCGATTGACAAATTAGTCGGTGTTCTTGACACAGCAATTATAGGACTTAAACAGCGGAACTTTGTAACTGAACAAGAAATTATGTCTGTTTAATAGAATTAAAGAGAAAGTATTATCACATGAAACGAAGCAAAACTTAAACAACTTACATTGAAAGAAATGTTTAATAAAGTAAACAAATAAATATTAAGCTTTTTCTTTTTGCTAATTTTGATACCCTTCAGATCATAATTGTTCTTTATTTCATAAATTACGGTTTCATGTTTTTAATTTTAGAATTTCTGCATGCCATCTTACGAGATTTAAACTGATGATCTATAATCCGGAAAAATCGATAATCCGGAATCGCCGAAGTCCCGACGAGTCCGGATTAACGACTTTTGACTGTATATTGAGATGAATTTATTGCTAATGAAAAACTTTGTTTGTTAATATGTGATGGTGTCTTGCAGATATAAAACATTTTAATTAGAATTTTCAGTAACAATTAGCTTCTTAAATTGTGCAATTTTTTAATAAAGAAAAACTTGCTGTTTCTAAAATTTATCATTTTGGGGAGCTTTTGAAGATACTTTTATGCAGTGAAACCTTGGATTATGAAAATGCCTTACTTCATGAACAAATTATCTGAACAAAAAACACCTTGAATTGATGAATAGTGTCTGGAGTTACAAATCTTTAAGTTAGCAATATATGATTTTCAAAATATTTTGAAGCAACCTATGACACATAATAAATACTCAGTAACTTCTGGATATATCATTTTAATATGTTTCACTGCTTAACTCTCATTAATGAAGCCTAACAGCAAATGATTTACAGGACCATGTATTCTACCTGGAAGAAATATTTTGAAGCAACCTATGACACATAACAAATACTCAGTAACTTCTGGATATATCATTTTAATATGTTTCACTGCTTAACTCTCATTAATGAAGACTAACAGCAAATGATTTACAGGACCATGTATTCTACCTGGAAGAAATTTTGGCAGATTATATAGCAGGCAAAAATTTTGACCATTTTAACACTTAAAACTTTATTCATTAACTATGATGTAGTGTCTTTAGTAAACCATGGGTGAAAGGAACTTTATTGTTAACTTCATAGCCTATAGTTATAGTTTAAACAAAACCATGGGCTTGGAAGTTAATACTGAAGACATGGGCAAGTTGCTAGAGAATAAAGCAAAAGGCAAGTGTGGGAGGAATATCTTTAGAAAAGGAAGGTGAGGAAATAATCCTAGTTCTCTGATCAGCGAAATTTGTACTGAGGCAAGATGGCAAAATTTTCATATATTATTATCACCTTGATAAAGCTGTAGCAAGATACAGCATACACAGTTTTGTTTCAATTACAATGCCATGGCTGACTTTGGGAACATTTTAAAAAAACATAAGCAGTAACAAATTACATTGGACAAATTTTGAGTGAGATGGATGCCAGAGCTCAGTGAGTCTCAGAATAGAGTGGCACTTAGAAACAAAGAAAAGGTAAAAGAAGGTGTTCCTAAAGACAGTTAACTGATGTTTTTATAGAAGGAAGTTTTGCATCCAAACAGCATTATCTTTCTCATCATTTTCCATTTATATGCCATCTGATCTCCTTCATATGGATACAGAAAAATTAAGTTGCATTTTTGTCTTGTTTTATCTGTGTAATATTGTGGTTACTTTTCTGTTTCATATTTACTGATTTTTAATTGATTTTAGGTTGTGAACAAGATATTATTGTCAAATTTTTGTAAACAACATTATGTTATAACATAAGATTTCATAAACAATTTTATGTTATTATATAATGAATTAATCCATTTTACATTAATTCTTATGGAGAAAATTGTCCCTTTATACAAATATTTTTAGTTAGCAAACCATATTTTAGGAATGAATTAAATTCATGAACTGTGATTTCATTGTAATATAAAATAAAGTTTAAATTAATTTTTTTTTTTTTAATCTGAAAGCTTTCAGATTTTACATAGTGCCCAAAGGATGTTTTATTTAACATGTTGTGTGTTACCTTTATTTATTTATATCATGTTCTTCACACTTAACCCTCTGAGCGGCCAGGGTTTTTGCTATGAAAGGACAAATTTCCCAAAACTACTATGAGAACAATTATTTTTTGATTTTAATGTAGAAACTCTCCTGGTATTTCATACCTGGAATTGTTTTCTTTTGATATATTTCCTTAATTTCTTTAACATATTTTAATATGCACCTACATATATGTTCTTACAGATATCACAAAAAGTATTATAGGCCGTATATATACGGCCTATAATACTTGCTGCTTAGAGGGTTAAAACATAAAATTCAGTTCGACAGCAATATCACAAAGTAATTTTAAAATTAGCATATCTTTAGAATTTCTGATACACAGTCTCGTGCATGGGAGATAAAAAAATATTTTCTTCCCCCGTACAATGTTGCCATTGCTCGCTTTGAAATTGTGCGAAGTAAAAGCAGGATTATTCATTGTTGAATAATTTGAATTAAAACCTGTAACTCAGACTAAAAACTGAAAGATTTTAGATTTTATAATAAGGACGTTTTTCTCATTTACAGGCACAAACATGTTTTGAGAGCATCTGGGCTAATGCCACATTGTGCTAAAAATATTTAAAAACACATATATTTAGAATTTTCAATAGACAGCCTTGCATGCTGGAATAAAAATGTTTTATGCCCTACAGTGTTGCCACTGCTCGCTTTGAAATTGTTAATTTTTTTTAATAAAAAATTCGGAAAAGTTTTCGAAAATATGAAATAGATTATATAATAAATTCCAAATTTTGGCTCCTAGATGCCCATATTCGGGTGGAAATGTACGTTTTTCAAAATTTGATGGCTCTAGTTCTAAAATTTGAGTGCCATTATTTTATCACAATGCAAGAAACATACATACATTTATGTAGATTCTTCATTATTTAATTTCTTTAAATATAATACAGGGCTCTAATATTTGGTAGCAACAATTTGAAAAGCGAATGGACATTTATCGTAAATCAACGCAAAATGCCAAACTGAAATTAATAGTCCTTCTGGGCAAATTGCCATTTTGGACTTAAAAGTTACTGTAATGTAAATTTTTTTCTAAAATGTTTTAAATAATGCTCTTTATTTATCATTATTATTATAGGAGTTACAGAAGTATTTATATTTTTACTAAGTAACTGGAATCCTCTGTAAAAATATTTTATATGTTGCCATGTATTGTAAATATGCATGTGATTCCTTGATTTTTTTATTATAAGAAGTCACTATTGATTACAAGCATTAAGTTAATCTTTAATTTTTTTTTGGTGAACTTTTTTATAAATTTATAAATAATTTTATAAATGTGTTGCAAATTTTGAAAATTATTTTTTTAATTATATGAGAAGATCACAAAAATTGAATGAATGTGTTGTAAAAGTGTTCTGAGGAAGGTCAAATGTGGAAAACATTTGCATGATTATGCATAATGCCATTTATGTAATATTTTAAAATTTTTATTAGATTTAATATATGTAATGCATTATATTCATCTTCATAGTTAAGAATGCACTTTTCTCCACTTATTCTGTTTATTGTTGGAAATCAATAGGTATTTAACAAAATTCCTTTGTTTTGCGAAAACTTGTGATTTTTTTTGGTACTTCATGACGAAAGTTGCTATTGCATTATATATTACCTTCATGAGCTCATCCAAATTTTATCATTTGTAAAAATGAGCTCACATGTCTGTTCCTTAAATGTTCAAAATTTGATCTGTTTAATATATTAAATATTAACAAGGTAAGAATTTTTTTACATTAACTTGACTTTTTGTAGTAAAGTGTCTGTCTCTTTTAATATCACTTTTTTCACTTTATGAATTAAAATTATTTTTCTTCTTAGATAACTGTGCCTTTTCAGTATGAATGGTTAGATGAAGTATTCCGTGAAGCTGCAACTTTTACATTTTTCATCGTGACAGGAATAAACTTTCAACCAACTACCAGCAATCCTTACTTCCGTTTGCCACAAGATGAAGATTTAGAAATGAATGAAGTGTAAGTCTTGATTTGTACAATATTTAATAAATTTTAGTCTTATATAATGAGGTAATTCTTTTACTATCAAAAGAATTTTGTTTGGTTTCTTTTCCAATTTGCTTTGACTAAATTAAACTCTGCTGCAAAATAAAGGCTTGGTTAAAATAAGAAAACAAGCTTTATCATAGTACTATTGGTGTTATTTATTGTGTATATTTTTTTTTTCATAATGGTGCCTTTTTGCTTCATTATGAATGTTAAATTAAAATATAGTTGTAAAAATGTAAGTTTAAATTCACAACATTAAAAAATATGTAATGTTAAATAAATTATGAGTATGTGTTATAATAAATTATAAGTATACATTTGGATTCATCTATTTTATATTAAATATAAATTCTGAAGATTGTATTTCTCCTGAATTTAATTTAATGCTATTATAAATAAAGCATTAAGTTTTATTTACCATGAAAGTTGATCCAGATATTTAGGTAATAATTACAACTGAACTAAACTGGCAATTTTTTGTGGTTGTGTGTAGAATTCATTCATTAGTGTTGTTAATTTTTTAAAGAGTATTTTTGTGTGGTGTTCCCCAAATCTAACTACTTAAATTTTTGTTGCTTTGTTATTTTCATGAGAAGCTGGAAAATTTGCACATGGTTTTTCAAATTACTAAAAATGTTATGAAAATATACTGGTTATCATAAATTAAGGAAAAATCACAAAAATAGTGATAACTCCCTCAAAAATAAGCCAAACCATGTAAAATTTGAATATGTTGCCAAGTTAAGAGTAGCTGAGTAAAACTCCAGTATGCAAATTAGTGCCACTGCACTTGGAATACCTCATCTGCGAGGAGCATAAAAGTCTATGTTTGAGAGCAAGCCCACATATTTCACTGTGATAGTGACATCAGAAATCTGAGATAGCCAATTCGTAACAATGATCTCCAGGCAACATTTGCCTGCAGAACTACAATAGAAAGCCATTAGAAGACTAGAGGCAGGACAAAGTAAAACAGAAGTGGCCAGATGGCTAAATGGGAGTCCTTCTGTGATTCATAGACTTTGGAAGCAATTTCAAATCACAGATTCGACACCTAAGAGGTTCAGCCAAGGATGGCCAACTGCTACGACGAGCGCCGATGACCGATATTTGACGTTATGTGCGCTCAGGAATAGAACCGCTACTCCGACTCTTTTCACAAAGGCGGTCTGTATGCGAGGTGAACAACCATTTGCGTGCAACTCATGTCACACCATAGCAGGGACCGTTTGCAGTGGGCACGACAACATGTCCACTGGATGCCTGAGCAATAATTAACATAAGCAATCAAGGGCTATTCTCTTTACGGATGAGTCCAGGTTTAGTCTAGAATGCGATAGTAGGCGTTACTTGATATGGAGAGAACCTGGAACCCGTTATCATCCGTCAAACATTCGTGAAAGATATGCATACGCAAGAGGCAGTGTCTGTGTTTGGGGTGGTATCTCTTTGGGTGGATGCACAGACCTCCATGTTTTTCCAAGGGGAACCGTGAATGCTCATGTTTATAGAGATGACATCCTTGATGCTTATGTGCACCCATATGCTGAGGCAATAGGTGATGCTTTCCTGTCACAGGACGGCAATGCAAGACCACACAGGGCTCGCATCATATATGATTATCTTCAACAGGAACAATTATGCGCATGGAGTGGCCAGCTCGATTCCCGGACTTGAATCCTATCGAGTACATTTGGGATGCTTTAAGGAGACGTCTAGCTGCTCTCAATCCACCCCCTTAGACTCTTGCCCCTCTTGCAACTGCTTTGCAAGAGCAATGGCTCTCGCTTCCTATGGAAATGATAGACTGCGTAATTGAAAGCATCACACATCGCTGAATGTGCTGTATTGCTTCTAGAGGTGATTATATTCCATATTGAAAATATTTTTACTATAGCAAACTGACATCTTTGATTTGTTCATTTTTTACATGTGCTAATTTCTATACTACCATAAGTGTCTGGTAATTTCTTTTTGTTATTTGATACCTTACTATGTGTTGTATATTGTGGGTAAGTTTCATAAAATTCTACATGTAACTTTTTCAGTAATTGTGATTTTTCTTTAATTTATGATAACCAGTGTAGTTTTGAGAAGCATACCTGTTAAAGTTTTTTTATGATGATTTTTCTTTCTAGGATTACCCAAACTGGATTTACGGAAAATGTTTCGAAAACAGTCAGATCACGTGAAAATGCTGGCCAAGGAGACGAAACTAGTGCTACTAAGCGCGAAAGTAGCCATGAATATGATTAACATGAAAACAAATATTTAGTTTCCGAGATTTGTGTAAACAAGACTGCTCATTTTTTAAAAATTTAATTACTGTACATTTTACAGTTGTCTCTTTTTTTTCATATATAAATTATTATAGTTTCTCATTACTACCATATTAGAGAATTAAATTTTTTGTCTTCATTTGTTTTAAATTTTTATTTTCAATCATTGCATAATTTATTTTAAATGTTGCAAATGAAATGGATGAATTTAAGTCTGGTGTTATGAATTCTGTAAATTAAGTTAAATATCACAAAGCTTAAGTGATACATTTGAAAATGTGATATATAAAGATATTTTGCAGCTGTAATCATATATTGATATCCTATTAAAAATAATCATTGTCTTCCCCCCCCCCCGGCTATTTAAAAGATGCCACCTCAGTTAGCAATACATGCTATCATTTAATGTTGACAGCATTTTCATACCTTGTTTTACAGAAGAAAAAGCATCACCACACACATAAAAATCTCCAGTAACAGAACAAAATATTTATTAAAAGTATTGACTAAATTTGAAATTAACATAAGCATATAAACTTTTTTTTTTTTAAATTTAAATACATTTTAGTATTTTCCTTTAATTTTGCCATTTAGTTAGTTTTCTTCCTCCTAGTTTTATTTGTTTGTTGAAAAAAATTTGCTTAAGTAATTTTACAAAGAAAAGCATAAAATATGAAAATATTCTTATGTTAAAAATCCACATAAAGTAATTATTTTTTTAAATATAATATTTATGAGATATTTTGGCAGATATTCTTTAAAAAAACTGATGCTTCATTGGGAATGAAAAGTAGAGAAAAGTTTCAGTAGTAGCTATTTTTGTTAAAGAAGTAACTGTATATGATAACAGAACAAAATTTAAGTAAATTAATAATTAACTTCTGCAAATACTGTTTTCCTGAATAAAAATCATTCTTTCTTTTCTTGCTTCTGTAAATTCCATATTTTAGTGATTATATTGAAATCAGTAATTTTATTAATAATATCTGTAGAAGGCAATTAAATTCTAAATGATGTATTAAAGAATTTATTTCAGGAGGAAATGTTAAATTGTAATGATAATTGTCATATTTGGCAACATTAAGGATAAAAAATTATTTAATGCAGTTAACAGGGGAAGGAATCTAAATTTTTAAATTTGATTCACACTTTAACAAGAATGATTCTAAAGGCTTTCGAAATTACTGTAAAATTGTATTTACTATTATGAAACCTTTCAGACCTTCCTCAGTTAATGAATGCAGATATCTGTTACCTTTTCCACTGCTCATTATATTTATTATTATTATTATTATTATTATTATTATTATTATTATATTATTTTTTTTTTTTTTTTTTTTTTTTAAGTTTTATTGACTGTGTTTTCAAGGATTATCAAAGAATTTTTTATGTGAATCTTTGCAGAAGCAGAAAAATATCTTTTTAGTTTTAACTATATTCATGGGGAAATAAGATTGTGTTGGGATATGAATATATTCCTACTAGCCAATTTATTATAGCATTTGTATTCTGATCTGTTGCTTATGTTACTCTACTTTATCTTAAATTAATTTTGAGTTTGAGCACTAAACAAGTATCTTTTTGCAGATGATGCTATGGGATATTTTCCTGGTGTGTTCTTGTGTGTTTATTTTTCATTCCAATGCTAAGTTAAATATGTATATAACTTGCAATTAAGTGTAAAACTAGGATTCTTGGAAAGAGCTGTCAACAGCTTGGCTAGGTTTTGCATAATTACATAAAATATACCAAAATGCTAAAACTAGTCTGGCCTGTAATAGATATTTCAGTTTACCCCATTTTTAATCCCAACATTAATCTAAGTTGGGATTTAAAATAAATATATATTTTAATACTGTATATCACATGTCCACTCAATATGTGGGAAGTGTGGAAATTTCATTCATTTTATTACTATTAGTACTATTTTAGCAGTATTTTGCTACTGTATATATTTATGTAAATTCTTTCATTTTCAATATATATATATATTTTTATTAAAGTTGTATGTTTCAATTGTAATATAAAATTTTCCTGTTATGTCCTGTTATGCCTTTTTGTATTCTAACTTTTTGTGTTAAAGATACACGAAAAGGTCCTCGTGTTTGATATTGCAATGCACTATAATCTTTAAATCTCTGCTTTGTACAACTAAAACCTCAGAGTTTAATGATGTGCAAATCTGATTTTATGTAGTCTGTATATTATCTAATTTAAGAGTAGTTTTTTTTTTTTTTTTTTTAAGCATTTAACCCATTAGTAGTGTTTCATTTGTATTGGTAAAGCACTGAAAGCCTGATGGGTAATATAATTAAGAGAATTTTTATCCAAAATCTATTATCTGTGCATATTTTATAAAATGGAAGCTGTCATGAATGCTTACAATTTCGAAATGAAAACTGTATAATAAATATGATTTACATAAAAATTGTAGAACATAGTTGTATAGCTTAACCTTAATAATTACTTTGTTATTAAAAATTAATTTTAAAAAGTGTCAAATAAAACTGTTTATTGCATCCTAGCATTTCTTCGTGCTAATTAGCTGAACACGTTGACTGCCCAACACGAGATAACTCATATTAGCTGTCTTCTTCGGGACGCCCAATATGAGTTATCTCGTAGCTTCTTGATTTGCCACTTTGTGCCGCTTCGAGTTAATTTGTAGTTTATAAGTCTAAATATGAATGGATGGCCTCTTGGAAGAAAATAAACAATAAAGTTTGGGTTATACAAATAGAAATTTTATTGAAAATGAACCAAAAATATACATTCAATGTTTATTCATTAGTTTAAAAAAAAAGAATATATTTATTGTTTTTGATAAATTTTAAAACAATCTTCAACACAAAGAGCTGGCTTCGCTTCATAGACTGGACAGAAATAATATGTTTCCCTGCATATGTGAGCTCTTGTACAAACTCAACAAAGCTATTTCTTCTTTGCAGTAGGGGGAATACTTTGCAAACAATGAAGGTTGCCCAATTTAGATTTTTTAGCAGAAGCTAATTGAATATTTTCGCCAATCAGTGTCTTCACAAATTCTTTTCTGAATTTTGTTAGTTTTACTGTAAAACAATTTATTTTTTAAAAACGTTTGTGTACATTATGTATATATATCTCAATAATGTGTAGTGCAACTTTTTTTGGCCACCTAATTGTCTTTCGAAGAGCTGTGTAGTATGATAGCATTTGATCTGATCGATCAATGCCAGACATTCTGTTGTTGTAGTCTCGAATTGTGTTCATTTTCATCGAAATCATTTTATTTCTATTCTATTGTATCTTTTTATTTTTATTTCTGTTCTTATTCTAATCTTATTATTCCTATTTTATTTTATTCTATTTCTATGTCTGTATGAATCAACTTGTAGTGGGCTTCTGCAAAAAGCTTTGTCTAACAAAAGCTGACTACGAGATAATTCGTAAGACACTTTTTTCTACAAAAAAAAATCATCTTGTAAACTTTTTAATGATTTTTATGAATCATAATTATTGTTTTTAATAATATAATATGATTAAATCGATTTGGCTTCTCGGAGCAGAATCCAAAAAGTGCCGTGGCAGTCAACATGTTAAGAGTAGAATTTACATCATACATGTATTTTGTAATATTCAAAGTTTTTAATTAAGGTAATGTAAAAAAATGGTATTAAGTGTAATTAATGTACATATATTTAATGCCTAATAAAACTTTATTCACATTACCTAACTGAATTATAATGTGAATAAAATTATTAGGTATATTTAATATATATACAAAGACCTTCAGTTCATTCGATAAATACATGTCATTAGTATTGTGTAGCTGCCAATTCTCCTAGTTTTATGTGATGACAAATTTTCCAGTTTTTAATGATCCAAAAATAGATTAGTTAAGTAGGTGAGAAGTACTTAACTAATCTAGGTGGTATAACTTTATAGCTAAGTTAGGTGGTATATTTTTCATAAAGCTAAAAGTAATTCTGTTATTTAGAATCATGGGAAAATGTGAATTTGACGATAATTCAAAAGGTAGGAGAATCAAGACCAATGATTAGTGTTGAATGCTTATTTAAATGTTCAGTACACAGAATATGGTTTGTTCAATATTATCTATATATATAAGAAAAAGAATATGTAAAGATAAATTATAAATAAAATCAATATCGTAAATTAACTTCCCTTCTGTATTCTAAAAATAGTAATCTCTTTTTGCTCTGCATCATTTCAAGACTAATCCATGTCATATGAATTTCTGTCTTCTGCTTCCTTCTTATTGCAAAGTTATCAAAAATATAAACCTTTTGAAATAAGCACAAATAATGTGCTAAGTTGTTTGTGGCTGCAACATGTTTCCTGAAATAAAATGAGAGATCCATTCTGCCTCGTTTTCCTGTTTCCAATTTATTGTGGATTGGCATTTCAGCAACCTTCACCATCAAAATTCTTGCTCTTTATTACAAATTCAACCTTCTACATTCTACACCATCAATATTGTAAAGTCCTCTTACAACAAACATCATTGATACTACAGGTTTTCCTTCACATATCCCAATAGATCTCTGATTCTCTCGTTTTTTAATTTTTAGCCTTTATTAAGGAATGTTTTCCAACAATAAATGAAATTTCTTGAATGAGTGAAACTTAAATTGTACAAATTCTTTTCCCCTATTAATATTCAGAATAATTTTTCTTGTTAAGTTTTATATAATTTGAACTGTATTTTTTCTTATTACATTTTTATGACCTCTTTCTTATTAAATTTCATTTTATCTGAATTATCTTAATCTACTGCATATATTTATAGATATGAAGATTCATCCAAAGTTAAATCAGTTATTATTTGTATCTATTTTACTTCAATATATGGTGCATTACTAAGTTTATCTAGATAAATATTATGTACATTAATTATTAATTTTATTTTAATAGTATTTAAAAGTACTTCAATACATAAAAGCTTTCCTTTCCTATTTCGGATTTTCTCAGCATTAAAGTGTAAGAAAATTACAAAATAAAATTAGCCAAAGAGCATGAAATTTGGAATATCTAATTAAATACTAATATATTTTACTTCAGAATTGAATTGTTAATAGTTCAATAACCTGAATCATGCATTTGTAATGTGAATTTAAGTCAGTTTGAAGTTCCTTTAAAGTGGCATCTGCACAACATGAAAACCTCCAGGTTTCTCTCTTTTTCAGATTTTAAGGTTGGCAGCTATGATATTGTGGTTGTAAAAATAATTTGAAATCACAGACCAGCAGAATGTTATTGTAACATAATGTTTTGTGACATATTTTCATTCCTGATTTTTTTTTTTTTTTTTTTTTTTTTTTTTTTTTTTTTTTTTTTTAATTATGTGAGAATTGAGTACATTTTGTTACCTAAATGTTTTTCAAATAATTTTTAAGGTATGGGTATTTCTGGAGATTTTTACTGTCAAATATGATTGTGCTTGTAATCTAATTATCACACTTAATTTTCTTGAAGATTTCTGGGTTCTGATTAAAAGAAATAACTATATATAAATTAGGCTAAGTATAAAGCAAACTTTTTCCACTGTAATAAGTATATTCTTCTGATATGCGAGGGGGAAAACTGTTTGTCCATACATATTAATCAAAATCTAGAAGAAACTTAAGTTACCTTTACTTATATTTTAAATTCTGCCAATTTTCATTTTTGCTTACAAATCAATATGTGATAATCTAAATAATGTGATAATAACTGTCTGATCACATTAATTGAAAAAGCAACTGAACTATATCTTTTAGGTTATTAAAAGTAGTTTTATTCATACATGTTTTTGCTTTGCTTTGTCTTGTCATGCAGTACTAAATGTTGCTATTAAAAGTAGTTATGTGATTCTGTCTTCAGATTCTTTGAAATAACTTTAGTAACATCTCATGAATTTTCTGAATTGGAAAAAAAAAAATTAAAATTACAGTGAAGATTCGAATTTTTTTTTAATTAGAAGAATGTGTTAGGTAAATAATTAAGTACACTTTTACTAATATCAAATGGTGTAGTATTTTTTATATAGAGTGTTGCCAAAAAAAAGTTTTGAATCTTGTAAAATACTTAAAAATTCCTGTAAAGTTTTGTAATTAGCTAACTCTGCAATAATTTCTCTTTTGTACTTTCATTTAAGTTTCTACGTAAATGAAAGTTCTTACCCAAGCACTTTCATTTAAGTTCTTACTTTGAATGAACATAGAGCTGAAAAAGCTGCCAGTAATCAATGAAGGCCTTGTACTAATATTTCTTTTAGCATGGGTTTTAATGTGTTAAAATTGCTTTTTGTGTTTCTATTCAAATTTATTGAAGAAGAAATGTCACCTATAAATTCCTAAGTATAAAGCATAGAGCTTTAACAATATATTTACCATATTTAATTTTTTAAGTATTTTGTAATAATTTTAAGCTCTGTTGTATTTTCGCTCTATCTAAGAAAGAAATATTTCTTTTTAATAATTTTATAATAAAATATCAGTTGTTTTCAGTGCTCAACATGTAAACTGTGTAAGGCACCTTTAAAAAGTTTTGTTTTCAGTATACATATATAGTTCATAATATGCTGCATTTTTATGAATCTGAGTCAGCAGTTTGTATGAATCTGAGTCTTTTATCAGCAGTGTCACGAAACTGCTGATAAAAATGTGCTGTATGAAAGGTGACTTATTTAACACAGTAGAATCAATTCAAAATTTATTTGTATATCACAACGAAAATGTTGGGTAAGAAAGTTGGATTTACTTTAGTTTTATCTTTTACAGTTTAGCAGCTCTTTCAGATTACTTGCTTTTCATGATATCTGTAACACTACAGCCTCAAGTGGGCATATGTATTATACATATACGTACTATATTCCTATTTTGTCAATAATAATTTTACACTAACACTTTCATTCAGCTTATGTCTAAATTAGATATATCCCCCCCTTTATTTTTATCTGCAATTAGACTTTTAAAGATGTTTTCTTTAACAAATGATTTAACTTTTTTTAAATTAACTGAGCACATGCAATACTTGCCCAAGATTGAAATAAGTTATATGTTTTGATTCCTTCATTAAAATTGTATTAGGTTATTTTAAAAAATTCATCAGAATACAGGAAATAGTTAGCAGCTAATAGCCGTTTATCCTCTTGCAGGCACTTATAAATTTATGAGAATAATTTATCTTAACTTTAACATTTATCCACATTGTCTTATGTTATAATATACCATATTTTTATTTTATGAAAATGTAAATCCTTATGAAGTGGTATATTCTACGGTGTTTTGTTATTTTAATCAAAACATGATTGCTGAGCAAACAAAATGGATTATCTAGGACACATGCAGAGAGAGTAGTATATCCACAGAAGTTTGTGAGAATTAATTAAAAAGATTAGGGAAATAAGTATGAAAATGAACAAATGGAAAGAACTTGATAAAGACCTGGTGTAAATATTAGTAAACTTGGAAGAAGAATATGCATGGCATTTGTTTTTAATTGCAAATTAAATAAATATATTTAAAATCCAAGTAACTTTTGGAAGTGCTAATATATCAGATTAACAAGCTTTGAATTGTATTTGAAGTGTGATGTTAACAAAACTCCCCTGCCCCCATATTCCGAAGATGCTAGTCAGTATGCATTGGGCTAATTGCCATATTGTGGTTTTCATGTATTGTTTCTTTCTTTGTTTTGTATTATTACTTTATTATTCATGCTGTGAATTTTTTAGTAAAGTGGTAGTATATTTTTCAAAGCTTTATACCAAAAAAAAAAAAAAAAACCACTGCATTTTTCTTAAAAGATAGGTGTGTCTCTATCATGTAATATATTCTAAAATAAATTTCAAATAAAAGAATTTAGGTAATGAATATGTCTTTTTGTTTTCAATAAATGCAGAATGCTTTCAACAAAATTACTATTATTTTAATATGACACCCCCCATATATTAGTATGACCCCCCTCCCCAATTTCTTTCTTTCCCTCTAGTTGACTGAAATTTCAAAAGAAATGATTTTGTAATATTTATTAATTTTTAATATTTTATTTTATGTAATTTATGCACAAATGAACATAAACATTCTTGTTTTTTTCTTATCAATGATATTCATAGGAATTTCAATTTTTACATGATTCCTACAAAGAAAATTCTAATTAATAAGTTGTTCTGTATGCAGTTGTTAAATATCGTTAAAGGGGGGAAAACAAGATTTTCTAATATAGACTCGAAAGAAATTATCATTTCTTTTCTTTTCCATAGAAAATCAATGGCAAAGCAGTTGTTTTTGGAGCTCAAAGAAAAATTGAAATTTTGTTATATAAAAATATTGAAATTCCATATTTTTACAAATAAATTTTTTGTAATCTATTATTATCATTTCTGTAAGTTGAAAGATATTTTTAAGGACTTAGCAAACAAAAATTTGCAGGCATAACGTAATTTTTATACAGGCTTCATTCAGTTCATTATGGGGAACTTTATCCAAGTCGGAAAAAGCTTACTTCTTATTTACTTCATTATTTTACTAGTCTTATGATAAGGCTACGTATTGCCAGTTTTTGTCTGACCTTTGTTAAAGGCATGCTGAACTGATTAAGAAAATATTGATGATTTTATAATACTGAGTATAGTCTATAATACTGAATATATAGTATATACTATATATTCATATATAATACTGAATATATAGTCTATAATACTGAATGAAAGAGAGTGTTAATAATGTTTTACAGCTCAGCTGTATAATATTATAAATTCTACAATGTAACTTTATTTCCTTATTATGTTATATAAAACTGTAAGCCATCATTTATTCTTTGTGTTAAATAAGACTGCCTAGTAAAAATTACATTGTTATTCAAATGCAGAAAACTCAGCAGCGAAGCATTTTAAAATCCTACCTTAGGAGAATATGTGAATTTGACAGCTTTGTAGTTTCAAGAATCCTGATTTTATAAATTACCCCCGGAACATGTATATCAGCAACATTTTCTAGAGTATAACTCAAGTACAGCAATTATATTCCCATACACACTCATGCCAGAAATTAAGAGAATTTGCAAATTATGTACATTTTTACATAAAAAGTGTTGAACCAATGGTACTAATTAGGTAAATATTTAAAGTAAATATGTAAGCATACAAGTGCATGATTATGGATGGGATATAAGCAAACGAGGGGTGTGGGGCGGTTTGTGTGCTCTTGCATCCTCACAAGATTTACCTTGGTTTTTTTTTTTTTTTTTTTTTCCAAGAGTTGGCGACATTTTATAAGATATCAGTAAAATTAGTAGAACATAATGTGTGGATGAAGGAATGAGATGGTGAATTGTTGGTAGGTTGGAAGCAGGCCTATCACAAGTGGAGGTGGCTACAGAGCTCTGTGCTCAGTGTCGTCTGTGGTTTGTGGAAACAGTTTCAGGGCACTATCAAGAAGATTTGGACAAGCTCGATCAAGATCCATAATGAGGATCGTTATTTGCAGTTTTGTCACAGCAGTACAGGACTGCTATAGCTTCACAGCTCTTACGTGAGCTGTATACTGCCCTAGAGCCCAAGCTTCATGGTCTACAGTTGCCGAAAAGCTTCATAAGATAGGCTTATATGAGTGGAAGACCAACTGTTTGGGTCCCGCTCATTGCAATATACGTACAAAAGAGCGCATTTAGCATGATGCAAACAACATGCGCCTTGGACCAGACTTTAGTGGAGCATTGTGCTTCTTCCAGATAAGTCGAGATTCAGCCTGGACACTGATTCTTGGCGTACTGAACAGGGAAAGGATCTTTGCAGTGGTGGAGGTGTAATGATTTGGGCAGGAATAATATTGGACAGCTGCATTTGTCTGGTATGAGGTATAGAGAGGAGATCTTATCGACTTTTCAGGGGCATAGTTGTTTCTGGGTGCCTTTTAATTCACGGCAACACTAGTCCGCATAGGGCTCAGCTGGTTGACAATTACCTGAAATATGAGGATATTCGTTGCATGGATTGATTAGCTAGATATCCTGACCTTAGAGCATGTCTGGGGTGCTCTTGGGAGGGCAGTTTCATCTTGCTGTTCTCCTCCAAGAACCAGCAGGGATTTGAAAACTGCCTTGCTGCAGGTGTGGAATCACATAGATGACTGCCACAGGGACTCCTCAGCTACCTCCTTTCCAGTATGTTGTCACACTGTGCATCCTGTGTAGTTGTGAGATGGGAACATATACCTCATATAAGCTCATTTTGGGTTCGATATCACAACGTGGATTTTGGACATCTGTGCACTCTGAGCTTTCCTGATAATCATGCGTAAATAAAATAACTTTTGAGTAAACCTAAATTTTTTTCGTTTTGGGGAAAGCAAGCTAGAAGCCTTCAGAGCGTAAAGGGAAATTATAATATTCAAGACAAATCAGTAAAATCCATTAACAAAACTTTTGCTCTTAAAATAAGTGTAAAGTTAAAGCAGGATTCTCTTTACTTTGCCCATTACCATATCTTCTACATAAGTGCGAGAAATTTCTTAAAATGAATATTGATGAGCATTGGAACTTCATACGAAAAGCAAACTGTTGTAACTGTCTGAGACCAAATCATGATGTATCCTCATGCCGATTCACTACATCGTGCAAGGCATGTAAACAGATACATCACACAGTTCTTCACACTTTTCGAACTGATAAAAAAAATTTAGCTGGAAGTCAAGTACTACCCCAAAAGGTCTATCTCAAAATCAGACTTTATATCAACTTTCGGCTGGTACCTCGGAAGAGCAGCAGTTCTGCTTCACAGGGAATGTAAAAAATTGTAATTTAAATTTACTTGCTACAGCTGTAATAAGAGTAAAAAAAAAAATAATCAAGGACAGTTTCTCGAATGCCGTGCTTTAATTGATAATGGTTCTCAAACATCTTTAATCACTGAATAGTGTCGTAATCAATTAAAACTTTCATTTCAAAAGTCTGACCACATTATCCTAGGACGATGATACAGTTGCCGCGCATGTTACGAAAGTAGCTAATTTAAATTTTACTTCCCGTTTTAATAACGGGAACTTTTATGTTAACGCTTTAGTAGTCAAAAAGCTGATCTCAAATTTACTAAATTTTGGTTTGTCAGAATTCAGTTGGCCTCATCTGAAAGGATTATAATTAGCAGACCTTTCTTTTCCCATAAGTAGACGAATTGACATCATTCTGGGTGCGGATATATTCTTAGATTTAATTCAAACTGGGAAGATAATGGGAAATCAAAACCAACCATCCGCTCTAAATTCAAAATTGGGTTGACTCATTTCAGGAAGGGTATCCGTTTCAAATAGAATTCAGAATTCGTTAATCAATTGTCATGCTTTAATAGACATTGAAAATTCAATGAAAAAATTCTAAAAGTCGAATCGGTTCCAGAAGTGAGTACACTGAATGATGAAGAGCAAGATGTCGAGGCATTTTATTTAAATCACACTAGTCGAAATTCTGATGGTAGATCTGTTGTCAATCTCCCATTTAAGAATAAAGTTCTATTGGGTGGGTCAAGAAATCGAGCTAAGAAGCGGTTCTTTTCCTTGGAAAGGAAAATTCAACAGAATTTAGAGCTTAAAACTCAATATATGCATTTCATGCGGGAATATCAAACTATAAATCATATGCAGATTGTTTCAAATGTCGATTTTTCAAAATCGTCGTAAGAGGTTTTCTATTTACTTCATTTTGGAGTTACAGATCAAAGTGAAACTACCAAATTACGGGTTGTATTCGACGGTTCTGCAAAGTCTGATTCAGGAGTTTTTTTAAATGATGTTTTTCACGAAATGAGTTGTTTGACATCCCATTAAAATTTAGAACTCATTGTATCGCACTCACTGGATATATTGAGGAAATGTTCCGACAAATTCTAGTCAATAAACATTTTTGGAGAGAAAATCCTGAAGAACCGCTTAAAGAATTCCAACTTCTGACAGTTACGTATGGCACTTCTTGTGCTCCACATTTGGCTATTCTGACATTAAAACAACTTACCATAGAGGAACAAACGAGTTTTCCAGAAGCTTCAAGAGTCATACTGGAAGATATCTATGTAGATGATGTTCTCACAGGAGCGAAGAATAATGAAGAAGCAAAACAGTTAGCCTCACAAATTTTCGAATTAATGAACAAACGCGGTTTTCAAATAAAAAAATGGGTATCTACTGAACCATCAGTCATTGAATTTTTACCCCAAGAACTAAAGCCGAACGGACCTTTGGCAGAGTGAAGAAAGTCAAGTCCATACAATTCTAGGAATCATTTGGGGATGCTAAAGAAGATGTATTCAGAATTAGAATAAACCCACATATGGATGGTGTTTTAACAAAACGTCAATTTTTGACTCTTGGGGTTTTATCACCTACAACGATTCAATTAAATATCTTAATGTAGCATTTATGAAAGAAAAATATTGAATGGAATGATTTATTATCTGATATTTCGCAAGCATGGAATCTCTTTAAATCTCAAATAGAACATTTAGCTGATGAAAAACAGTTCTATTAAAAATATTCAGTTAATTGGCTTTTGTGATGAAGTCTGAATGCTGCAGTGTTTTATCTAAGAACAATATTCAAAAATGGAACAATCTATGTTTCATTGATTACTTCAAAAACAAAAGATGCTCCTATAAAGACAATAACATTGCCAGGACTCAAACTATGTGCAGCGCTTCTTCTTTCTAGACTCTATAAAGCTAAGACATCCTTAAGGAAGAATATTCACATTGATCAAACTATTTTATATTCAGACTCAAAAATAGTCTTAGATTGGCTTAGTTCATCTCCTCAAATGTGGAAAAGTTTTGTTGCTAATAGAATATCAAACATTCAAGACTCATCTTCAGAAGCTTCATGGAATT